CCAGAAACTAAAAAAAAAAAAATTTGTATTGTACATACACATAGAATGATATATATATAATATATGATAAATGTATCATACACAATAATACAATATATTAAGTCATAATAACACAATATGAGAAAATACACATCGACTGTTAATAGCTATTTAGGGAGAGAGGAATTGGTTTGAAAGGGAAGTTAGCAGAAAGAATATACTCTTTTTTATTACATGGTTCTTCATATGTAATTTATGGGAGGGTATTCATTCATGTACTTACATAATTAAGACAAAATGAAAATGATGATTCCTGGGTAAATAGAGGGAAGTTGAGGATGGGGGGAGGGGTGTGATACAGAAGGAAAAGGAAGACAAACAGGTGAGATGGAGGCACCAACACAAGAGTCTAACTTTGTATTTTCCTTCCCAACCTTAGGACTGCAATACAGATACCAGGCCCTGGGCAAAATCAGAACCTCAAACAAAGGATTAAGTTACAGCGTGATCTGCTTCTGGCGGGTAAGTGAGGATTAGTAACCCAGGAGAGAAGGGCTAAGAACAATAGAAAAGCCTAATCAGGTCCACTGGTGGGAATATCAACCCCTGGGCTGAAAATCCTCTCACTCCCCATGGTGATTCCACCATCAAATGACCAAGTTGCTGGTTCCAGCAAGGCCTTGCCCTCCGTGACTGCCATTTTATGAGGCAGTTTGGAATCCAAAACAACATGCACTTGGACAATTATTTCGTATGCTACCAAGTTCTATGGGGATAAACTTACTGCTTATTCAGCACTGGAAAGTGGCAGTAGAGCAGTCTTCCAAAAGAGAACTGGTCTCAGATCATTTTTGGAGGAAATTAGTTCGATCTACCTTACTTTGCTCTGAAAATCCTCTAATTTAGCAATTCATTGACCAAAACATGGTTCACTCAAAGGCTCTTTTTTTAAAAAAAAAGGATGTTTCCTTTCATTTTCCCTGTTCCCTAACTTATCCCCAGTCTATAAAATACCCAAAATAATTGTATGGCAATAAAGCAGAGGCTTACCCTGAGAGCAGAAAGCCCTGTTGTTTGTTGTGAAGACATAAAGACTGTGATTATCATGCATTTATCAAAGGAAAATGGATTCAGACTAATGTGAAAGACAGCATGACAAGCTTAATTATAATGTAATGCTTTTAGAAGTCCCAGCAAAAATAGAAAGATAAAAGTGCTTTGAAAGAGGCCAGGTAGTCTTTACATTGATAATAACTGTACACAATCAATTCTGACTCTAAGGACATTTTTTTCACTTGCCTTTAAACTTATCAAACCTTTCAGAGAACTCTGTAATGATAAAATATCTGGTATTTAATTTATATTTATGTTTAATAGATATTGTCAATTTAACTAACAAATAAATTTATTATTTACTCAAAAATTATTGAGGACCTCTATATGCATGGCACAATCCAAAAGAAGACTTAGCCCCTAACTTCACAAATTCTATCAGTTAATTGACAATTACACTATTTTATATATTATGTATTTAACATGTGTTTAATGTGTACTAATATGTGCAAGTTCCTGGGAAACATGAAAATCAACTCCACAAGTAATCTTTTCCTCTAGAATACAATATGTACATATACAACCTTCAGTATAGAAGACAATTTGTCTTAAATTCAATAATGAAAGTTAGAGCAAAGTGCTAAATGATCTAAAAAAAACAAACAACTAAATCTGAGTAGGGCATCAAAACAAGGTTTCACTCAGAGTTTCTTTGGTACTTCCGATTCACAGTAATGTGTCTTCCCTTCAAGCTGTCAACAACTGATCATGGACCAAACACTACAAGGTGTCAAGCACTGTGATAGGATACAAGAGAAAAAGATCCTGACCCTGCTTAAGAAAGCAAATAACTCTTTCAGTTCAACATGACACAGACTCTAATGAGGGACACAGGTGCGAAGGGAGTGCAGGGAAACACCTAGGTGTGCATGAAGGACTCCAAAAAGTCTGAAGCTTCCAGGACAACTAGGAATTTGCCAATTGGTCACGGAGGAGAGGGTACTGAAGGCAGAAGGAAGAGCATCCTGCAAAGCCATGAGGCAGCACAGTGAAAGCAGCCAGGAGGTTGATATGGCTGGAGCCTTAAATGAATGGAAAAGGAAAGCAGGAAGTAAAGTAGATTGGGGAGGGCTTTACATACGAGAGCAAGCATTTTATTTTTTATTTTTTTAAATTTTTTTATTGCTTAAAGTATTACAAAGGGTATTACATATGTTTCCTTTTTTTCCCCGCCCTTGACAATCCCCTGGCCTCCCCTACCCCCCAGTGTCTATGTCCATTGGTTATGCTTATATGCATGCATACAAGTCCTTCAGTTGATCTCTTACCCCCTTCCTTCCTGTCCCCCAACCCTCCCTGGCCTTCCCACTGCAGTTTGACAATCTGTTTGAGGCAGCTCTGCCTCTGTATCTATTATTGTTCAAAAGTTTATAATGGTCTCTATTATCCATGAATGAGTGAGACCATGTGGTATTTTTCCTTCATTGACTGGCTTATTTCACTTAGCATAATGGAGAGCGAGCATTTTAGAATTGATGGTTAGAGCAAGGGAAAAGATGAGGGTTGTAGAAATGTTCTTAATGGAGGGGAGATTGAAGTCAGACCCATCGTAACGTGGGGAGATATGTTAGTAAAGCTTTGTAGTATTTAGAGCAAAGGAATATGAGATTTGGAATTTGAACCGTGGCAGGAATTAGCAGTTGATTGGCGAAGCTTAAAGGAAAGGGAGAGGATTTATGTGATAAGTACACAGTAAAATATGCTCATTTGGCAGGACTTATGGGTGGGGTGAGGTTAGGAGCTGAAGGTGAATTTCTAGTTTTTACATAGCACTTTAGAATAAAAAGGTTAGATTCACTGGAAGAGTCTCAGAAGCTGCCCCCCAAAGCCGATTGCTCACCCTTCTCTTCACAACCAGGTGTCTTGAAATCTATACATGTTAACTAGATCTAGAAGTCATGCATCTTGTAAAGTGGGAATTTTACAGAGGAACAAATGATGGATTCTTAGAGATTAAGAAGTTTGCCTGAGGGGAGATAAGTAGTAAATAATGTGGTCAGAATTCAACAGGGACTATCTGGCTCCAGTGCCATGTTTTTTCCATCATATTTAAAATATCCCCTCAATATCAAATAGCAATGAACTGATATGCTTAATTGAAATGTTCTTAATGTACTTGACATTCTTCAGATTAACTTTAATTTCCTACTTATTGAGTCTTCAATATTGAAGCAACAACAGCTAATCAGCTGTGTCTCGCCAAAGTAACATTTCCTCGCCCTCATTTCTGTTTTTCTTCCATTGAATTAGTGAGAACTCTTGAAACTCTCAAGATATGACCTATTAAGAGCTCAATAATATGAATTAAATTCATGAGTATATAATTTTTAAGAATTTTTATGAAATACTTTGTCTCACTACCTGAGACTATTGTTACGTGAACATCAGTATATTTTGCAAATGTAAATTTTCAAAGACATAGTAGTTAGCCAGTATATTTTAAAATCTAAACCATCTCTTAAAGTAATTGAGTATCAATGATAGATTTGGGTAGAACTGGGGAAGCAGAATCACATAAATGCACAATGTTACTTACTTTATCTTTGGAGAAGCTGAAAAGTTGTTTTCTTGCAGCAAAGAATTGGACAGCTATTACACTGGCGGAGTGACCCCAGAGAACACCAACTGGCTTAGAGACCACATAGGGGTTCCAAAGGCAGACTTTGTTGTTAATGCCAGCAGTTGCTAATCAGAATCAGAAAGAAAAAGTGTTTTTAATAACATTAATAGCCTACATTTTCTTTTTGAAATGAATGTATCTTATATCTGTAGACAAGTGCCAGTCTCAAAAAGATGGAAAATCTTGTCTTTGCCCAACGCTCAGGTTCATGGGGCATGAGCTCTATCATACAAATAGCTGAAACCAAGGGAGCAGGGGGGGAGGGATGGTCATGAGGTAAAAGGCCAACACAGTACCATTTAGGAAGCAGCCAGTAGCCCGAACAGGTGGGGACAAAATCCTGCTTTCTAGTCCTTATATTTCCACCCTCCAGCCAACACAGCTTAGGAACATAGTCATATTAGTTATCCCAGGAGTAAGAAAGAGCTAAACAATATTCAATGTTTTCAAATGAATTAAAAAACTATAAAGAAATAAATTATTTTCACTGCCATGTAAACGATTATTTACAAGCAAACAAGAAGCACAAGTAGATTTTTGACTTGTTTAATTGAGAGAATAAGGTATTTATTTTAACATAAATTGGCTGTACTCAGGGAGTGTGTCAGGAGCAGGGACCACAGTGCTTCTTTGGGTCTATGGAGAAACCAGAAGAGCATTCTTTGTTGTGCCCTCAGAGAGGGCCAGCTGGAGCTGGCTTATTCACCCTCATTTTGTCAGCACTGTGCCAGGTACAAAATAGTGACCAGTGGAAAGGGGTTGACCTAAGCAATCAATCAGTCAATGAAATGGCTGATATTTGAGTCCTTCCAAAGTCAATTCACCAACCCCTCCAGCATTCTCTAATAAATCAACAATACTCCTTGAAAGTTTAATGTTGGCAGATTCCTGAATTCATATTCTGAGTATCTTTTACTATATCTGTCAGCTATTATTGTTGGAAATGTAGGGATTCAGTACCTAAATTGATACTCAGTACTTATCAATAGAAGTCTATCAGTACTCTTTATATGAATGATAGTTATTGGTGAAGGTTAAAATGATCCCTTCTGTAGACCATATATGGTCATTCTCTATAACTAACCTATTACTTTTTTAATAGTGCCTCACTTTTTTTTCAATCTTTAATTTCTTTATTGATTAAGGTATTACATATGTGACCTCATCCCCCCATAACCCCCCCCCTGCACTCATGCTCTCATCCCCCTGTTGTCTAAAACTATGGAACATTTCACGAATTTGCATGTCATCCTTGCACAGGGGCCATGCTAATCTCTGTATCATTCCAATTTTAGTATATGTGCTGCCGGAGCGAGCACAGTGCCTCACTTTTTTAATAATGTTTGGTCTAATATCATACATACCAAATTATCAGCTTTCAAATGTCTATACATTTAAACAGTTAATGCCTGAAAACCTTTATAGCTTATTTCCACAGCTAAAATATGTTCTTGTATATCAAAAGAAAAACTCTTCTTTAATAAACTACAGCTAGGATAACCTGAAAATTTTCAAAAAACCATTAGAGGTTGTATTCTGAAAGGTGAAAATGTTCTATATTTTGAAGCTCATGTGTATGTGGATGGGGGAATGGGTAGCAAGGAAAATGATGTATTTGGGGGGTTAAACTTTTGGAGGTGTTAGAATGATGGTAGAATCTCAGACAATGCACAAACTGTCTTCTTTCTGTGTATCCCTTTACTACCCTACCAGTGCTAATAAAAACACTCATTAAAGAACTGGGCACTTCTCATATGTTCACCCCAGTGTAGCTCATGTACACCGTGCATTATAATGCATCATTATCAGACATTCTCAGGCAATAAAATGTAAGCTTCTCAAGTTGGTCTCTCTGGCAATAAAGCAACTAGGTGAAGAGGCTTCGTGCATACAAATAGGCACCCGGACTATCTGTGAGGCCCCCGTAGTTATCATAATTTATTTTACGTACCAATTAAATTGAGCCGAGAGTGGTAATCAAAAGCATGAATGCCCTGGGCAATGTTGAAAGATGTCATTTGAAGATGCTTTTTTGGTTTTTCTCTCCAAGCCAGCACCACAGTGTTTGTACTGTTGGTTGTGCTGGAAATGATGGCATCTAAAGAGGCATTGTAAGTAACTGATTTAAAAAAAAAGGAAAATAATATTTAATTGATTTCTCATAGGACATGAACAAAATAGAACCATTTTAATATGTAAAGTTAAAAATTAAACTCAGATTACCCCTCCACCGACCTCCCATTAAAGAACTCACAGTGGAAAGTTACAACAAGGTCTGCATTTAAACTTTTTACCCAACCTAAGGCTACCTTGAATGTTTTAATTGGAAGACATGGCAGGAAAAAATATTAATGACTCTAATTATATGGAATTCTGGGGATCGAAGATGAGTAAGTAATTGCTCAAATCCCTGGGTTCTTCCTCCTGGGTCTGAGGCAGGCAAACAGGAGCTTAACAGCATCTGCTTCTCTCAGAGTTTCAGCTCATGCCCAAACCATGGCTTATTTAAGCTGTGCCTGGTCTAGAATGTTTGAGAGTGAGACGGCCAGGGCTCAATTCCCTGCGAAGACTCACAAACACAGCTAGAGACTTGGGTAAAATGGCTATTCCTGCCTTCCTCGTGACCCAGTGCCAGAAAATGTGGAGCAAAAGCCTATTTCCCAGCAAGGGAGGAAAGGGAGGACTCTTTGTTCAGGAGAACCTTTCCATTCTTTCAGACTCAGGCTCCAAAAGCAAAGATCTTTTCCCAACTTCCAACCACGGCTGCCCTCATGACATTCGCTTATACATTTTGCTCAATGATTTGTGCCCAGAGTTGAAGGATTCTGATTTGACCTCAAAATCAAATTCCGTGCTAGGACAAAGAAGGATGTTGTAACTTTGCACAGCTTGAAGAATGTTGTTTTAATAGAATGACCCTTAGAAATAGTCCTGATCTCTATATTATACAGAATCAAGAGTGAGACTGCTGGAAAACAGTTCTCAATGCATTGCTAGAATTGCTGCACTTCTTTTAATCACTGACTCCCTTTGTTCCAGACCATCTTTTCAAAGACATTTGCTTAGGAAAAAACCTTGAAATGTAGACTTGGTGTCTCTCTTTGCAGCAAAATGTACACAAACTTACTACCCAGAATAAGAAAAATAATGTGTTTCTCTGGAATGAAAGGCAGACATGCATCGAGTTCAGTAAAAATGATTCAGCTTCTCTAAGCTTGGGGTGTCTTTCCTGTAACACAGCCCACTGCATGTGCAAGTATTCACCTGGGACCATGCTTTGTTGCTGTGGGACTTGCTAGCAAGGGGAACTGACACAAATAATGCTGATGCCAATGTTGCTTGCTATGCTGTAATAATATCCTTTTGTCTTTAACATAGGAGTCTTATGCCCTCTGTCATTTTAAGATTTTTTTAAATTTTTTTTTTAAATATATTTTATTGATTTTTTACAGAGAGGAAGGGAGAGGGATAGAGAGTTAGAAACATCTATGAGAGAGAAACATCGACCAGCTCCTCCTGCACATCTCCTACTGGGGATG